ATGGATGATCTCTCTTAGCCCTGAAGTTTTGGCCTGCAACAATGTTATTTCAAAATGAACCAAGCCGGTGTTGGATTGTTGGTTCCCCTGTGGCAGGTGCTCAGTGAGCTTGCTTGCCCTACTCCAGCCATCTCAGGCCATAGCATCCCGTAGACGATATCCTCTTGTCTCTGCTTGATAAGTCTACTCTTCCCCCCTCCCTTCCCCGTGGAGTACTAACACTTTGCTACTTTTAGGGTAGAACTGGCCTTGGTGAACTCAGACCACAGAGCACTGAGGTCTCTTTTATTCCTTACAGGTATCACTGCCCCTATTGCTGGGGCTAGGCTCCCTAATCAAGATGCCCAGGAACTGGATGGGAAGTGTTCTGTTAGGTTCAAGATTACATCTGACAGGACACAGCGTCCCCTCTTCCAGATGGGTCAATCAACCCTTCATACTTATCTGTCTTGGCACTATCATTCTGCATCCTGGCTGGGACTCTGTGCTTGCATTTTCTCCTAACCTTGGAAGGACTGTTTCAGTGGTTTAAGCAAAAGCATCATTCACCAGGTACATTAACAAGCAGCTGTTCAGTACCAGCAATCACAGCTTGGCTTCCCTTTTGGACAGAATCCAGTTTTAAGCAGAGCGTCTGGTGGTGCATGCAATGGAATCGGTGGATTACCATCATGTGCAAGCTCTGGCTATGACGCCATCCCGACCCATTTGATTGTGGGTAAAGCTCAAATTACGAATTTGGGTTAAGTGATATTGGACTGTACTGAAACACAGCCTTGAGTTTGTCCTGGAGATGTGCCAACAGATTGGTGGACCATGCAAGGAAAGGCATCAACTGGGAATGGAGTGTTTTTGTGCTTTCTTTTATGGCTGAAGCATGAGTGCATTACTTATGACCATCCAGCCTCAGATGTGACCTATAACACTGAAATAGGTAGTGTACTGAAAATTGGCTGGGTGATTTGCAGGTGGAATATACCAGTTACACTAGAGTCCAGTGCATCAAAGGTGGCTTCCCAGGTGAAGGTTGTATTCAGCAGGGATAATGGTGGTTTGATTTCACTGGAGTGGTTGGGAAAGGCTGGTACTTCAAACCCTCAGATCTCATTGCAACATTTGATGTTTCCCAGGTGTAGTAACTTGCCTAGTATCTAAATCATGTAAAAACATAGGCTTTGAAATAAGGTGGCCTGGTAGAGCTTGGATAGTTAGCATGTTTGGTACCTAAATACTGAAGGTAGAAGGAGGCCAGGTGTCTGTTCTGTGCTGCTGTTGCCTCCCCTGATTTTCAGAGCTGTTAGCACATGCTGCCTTTAGGCGTCATCCCACTATGCTATTTAATAAAAGCTGCAGCTTGTTGGCCATAAGTTACATAAATTTAAGAAGTCCTCAGTGGATCCTGCCCTCCACAACCTTTATTTTTTCCAAAAGAAGTCAAATTATTTGTAGTGGCTTTGAACAAATCAAAAAATGATAACTAAAAAAATATTAAAAAACTTCTGATGCTGCTAAATCATTTTACATTAAAATATTCTGAGGTGCATAAAGCTTGCAATTATGTTTTAATATCCCTGATACTTGGGAATCACCCTGGGCACTAGGCTTTGCAGCCCCACACAGACATTTTCTTAAAATTAAAATTTTTATTTCAGCTGATGAATTTAATTTCAGCTTGTGGGGCCTGCATTTCCCCCTCATTTCCTTCTGTTTCGCTATATAATTTAGTCATATCTTAAGTTAGCAAATTTCCCCTGCAGCCTGTTGCTATCCACAGCTGGCTGTCCATGTGCGTGCATGCAAAATTGTCTAACACACTGTATATCAAACTTCATCAAAGGGCCCGCAGGATACAGCAACGGTGGCTCACTCCAACTTCCTTGCATTAAAAAGATTTTATAAAAGACCTTGATAAGACCAGTGTTTCCTGCTTTTTGATGTGTGTAAGTAAAAGAACATCGTCATGGTATCTGCACAGTCTTATAATCAGCTTAACAAAACCAAGAACAGGTCCATCCTTAAAAGCTTTTAAGTTCTTTACTGATATTCTGATGTAATTACAAAAAGAAAATAAAATCCACCCAAAAAAACAAAACAACAAATCGAATGTTCCTCTTTAAATTGTCTAAATAGATGAACCATTTCAACTTAGCAAAGTGATTATTGGCAAGACATAATATAGGTAAATAAAATCTTTGGAGCACTTAAACTCAAAAAGGTGTGTGTTATGAAAGATGATTCCAACCAAGTTTATCACTGGGGAATAATGCTTGTTCAGAGCGTTAAACTGTGTGTTCTGCAAAGGTGGGAGGCTGCAGAAGAGCAGTTTTGATCCAAGGTTTGGATGAAGCCAAGGAAATCGCCTCTGATGATGAGGGGTCTGAGAGTCTGTAGTACAAGAAAACGAGGGGCTCTGACAAGCATCATACCACTGAACTGGGTGGTATGCCAGTGTCGCTGGTTCCCAAGTTACTGGGGGCCAAAAGAAGGACAGAGCTCCTTGGATAGAGACTGGTTGGCTCAGTCACCCCCATTGGGGCATGTGACAAATCTGCCAAGCCAAAGCTCAAGGAATCAACAGCCTTTGAAGGCTCTGGTAGAGGGGAAGTCAGAGAATTCGGAACAGGCATTATGATATCCTGACTATTCTCACCAGGGTCCACTGGATTTATTAGTAAGATCTTCTCCAGAATCATCTTTCTCCCGGCAGAAATGCCCTTAATGTTTTGGAATCCACAGCTATGGAGTTGGCTGGAGCAGTCATTTATCAGCTATAGGTTGCCCACGCTTCTATGCAGAATCAAACCCAGCACTGGTGACTTCTTGGACGAGAAAAAAGCAGGTTCCTTGTCATTATATTGCAGCTCCACATCAAGGAGCTTTATGACTTGTTTATGGTTCAATGTCAGCTTTGAAGTCATGGTTCTCAACTTAGACAGCTCTAGAACCGAAAGATTACTCTGGTTTTCCTCTGTATGGCTGTGCACCTGGAGGCTTTTAACCCTATAGTCCTCCACCTGTTGCCTCCGTAGTCTCTTCAGCAAGGAGGGGTGACAAGAGAACAAACTCTCTTCCTCCAAGGAACGCAAAGACTCCTGAAGAACTCCTCATCCTCCTTCATCTGATGGGCAGTCAGACTTGCTCTCTGGGGAAGGCGAGGAAATGGCCTTCAGAGGTGCTCCTCTCTATATTATCCCACGAGACTGTCTTGATTGCTTCCTTTTCTCCTCTACGGGATGTCCGGGCCTTTCAAGATTTGCTTGAATTCATTACATATCTGTCTGGATGTCTGAGGACTCACTGAACTAGGGGCCTTCATTTGATCAGTTTGCAGTTGTATTGAGCATGGGTGAGTAGATCTGCCAAGCCCTGCATGGGAGTTATCCATGCATATCCCATGCAGAATGACAAATAGATCTTTGTGTTTAAATACACTGCAAAGTATGCATGGTGATCCTTTAATCGAAAAGACAGCCCAAAATAATTCACACAGCACACTGATTCAATCTGTGATGATATCCCACTTTAATAGCATAGCTCCAGTTTGAAAATATATCTAATCACTTTCACATGCTGCTGCAAGTCTCAGCTGTGTATGATACAGGCAACGAATAGAAGTGACATTGCTTTTCTTCACTCATCTTCAACATTTATGTTTTGAAAGGCTCTTGAGAGCTTTTGCTACAATGACATCTTCTGAGGTAATAGTGGATACTTCCTATTCCAGTCTGACCTGACTTGTGCTTTGCAGCATTAAGCCCAATTTTCTTAAATGGAAAAGTGGCGTAGTACCGTCCTGTGCATGCCATTTGGAGTCTGGCCACACATTGGAAAGGCATTTAGTATACCATGAGGCATGTGGGCGTTCAAAAGGGGATGAATACACCAGAAAAGTTGGGTGAAATCAAGTTGTTCATAAAGCCTATAGCTAATTCCCAAAATACAACTTAAAACTGACCCTGGGCAGCTTTAGTATATGCCACAGGTACAAACCTGTCAGGTAACAGAGTAGATGATTTACCTGTGCAGTATGGGATTATGTTGGCTGCACAATTAGTTCTTGTTTAGATTTGCTGCATAATTGTGCATTTGAATCTAAGCTTTATCAGGTGTTGACTATGAAGCCTAATGATAATTCTAATGTTAACTAGTTCATTGCTGATAATTTTGGTAGAACCAGCCCACTATAATGTACCTATTTCTTGTTGCTGGATGCAGTGGCAGGGGGCAATAAGGTTGCCATCAAAGGGTGCAGGGGTGGGGAATGAAGAATTCAATTCCTTCCTTCCATATGCTTACCACCCCTGCCCACAACAGAAAGGAAAGTGGCTTCCCCATACCAAAAGGTTCAACTGTTTCCTGGATGTCAAGAACTAGACCTGCTTTTCACACTTCCATGGGGCCCAACAGCTTAAATGGTCCCTAATCCAGCTATCAAACCCTCCAGCCTTCCGCTGACAACTTTCACAGTACAGGTAGGCACTTTCAATAGAGAAATCTGCAGCACACTGAAAAACTGAGGGCAGCAAAAAATAAAACTGAACGAAATACTGAAACAAACAGCACAAAGGACACTATACTGACTGCACTGGGTAAGGACAGCAATGAGGAGGAAAGGGGTTGGAGGATGGCCACAGACACACATTTATTTGGATGACAAATTTGTTGTCCTTGTCCAAGATGAGGAAAATGCAAAATACAAACAAGTGGCAAAAACAAATTTTGCTTTTAAAATTCATTCAATTCTTATTGCGTAATTTGTTATAAGAGTGGCAAGGTATGCTTTTTAAAAAACGCAACTGTTCTCTACACTAATACTGTTCCTTTAAAGGAAGGACTAAAAACGAAGACCAATCAAAGTTTCAGAAGTTTAGGAACCCACTAATCAATGCTGGCAAAATGCACTTGGATAATTTTCAGTTTTGCAATATAGTTGTTGAACTTGTAGCATCTTAAATTTGTCAACATACAGCCATTCACAGTGCCTTTAGTTTTTTGTATACCTCGTTTCCCAGCAAAGCAGAAACACATGCCTCAGACGCATCACAAATGGCTGTCAGGTCATGACCTCCTTCGAGGGCCAGAACAATTCGACCTCCGGCCAATCCCATCAGCTGCTTCGTCAGGTACCCAAAGCCTGTAACAGGGAAACAGGAAATGCAATAAAAGGGCAAAGGTTGACAGAGGAATCAGACTCCTGGCAAAGGATCAAAGAATTATAAAAGGAATTACATCATATTAAAAAAACCACAGGGATCTGGGAGGACTAAACACATAATATAAGCCAGGTTTTATTTTAATACATTTGTTTCAGAATTTCAGCTATGGCTCCCCTTTGGATCCGATTACATGTATGCATTATGGGACAGATTCTGATCTCACACGGGTGAAAATCTGGAGTACCTCCATAAACTCCACTGGAGTTACTTCAGATTTACACCTACGTAACTGAGGTCTGAATTTGCCCCATTGTGTTTTAATGCTTTGAATTATTATAGTAGCAAATAATCACACTGGGAAGGAAGGAAAGAGACTAGAAGGAGGTCACTTGTACCTTATTTGAGCTTTATGTTATATTATATACGATATGCTCTCCAGAATTAATGCCGTACAGGAGACAGAGGAAAAAAGAAACAACCACCTGTGGCTTGTGCTTCTATTTGTGGAAAAAAATGGATTATATTGTTCCACAGGAACTGATGGGCAGGATCCCCTGGGAGATGAGGTGGAAAGGAGTCCAGGAGAACTGGCTGTATTTTAAAGAATCCTTTTGAAGGGTGCAGGAACAAACCATCCTGATGTGCAGAAAGAATAGTAAATATGGCAGGTGACCAGCTTGGCTTATCAGTGAAACACTTGCGGATCTTAAACACAAAAAAGAAGCTTACAAGAAGGGGAAGATTGGACAAATGACCGAGGAATATAAAAATATTGCTCAGGAGTGCAGGAGTGAAATCAGGAGGGCCAAATCACACCTGGAGTTGCAGCTAGAAAGAGATGTTAAGAGTAACGAGAAGGGTTTCTTCAGGTATGTTAGCAACAAGAAGAAAGTCAAGGAAAGTGTGGGCCCCTTACTGAATGAGGGAGGCAACTTAGTGACAGAGGATGCGGAAAAAGCGAATGTACTCAATGTTTTTTTGTCTCTGTCTTCACGAACAAGGTCAGCTCTCAGACTACTGCACTGGGCAGTACAGCGTGGGAGGAGGTGACCAGCCCTCTGTGGAGAAAGAAGTGGTTCAGGACTATTTAGAAAAGCTGGACGAGCACAACTCCATGGGACTGGATGCGCTGCATCCGACGGTGCTAAAGGAGTTGGTGGATATGATTGCAGAGCTATTGGCCATGATGTTTGAAAACTCATGGCGATCAGGGGAGGTCCCAGATGACTGGAAAAAGTCTAACGTAGTGCCCATCTTTAAAAAAGGGAAGGAGGAGGATCTGGGGAAATACAGGCCTCACCTCAGTCCCTGGAAAAATCATGGAGCAAGTCCTCAAGGAATCAATTGTGAAGCACTTAGAGGAGAAGAAAGTGATCAGGAACAGTCAACATGGATTCATCAATGGCAAGTCATGCCTGACTAACCTAATTGTCTTCTATGACGAGATAACTGGCTCTGTGGATGCGGAGAAAGCAGTGGATGTGTTATTCCTTGACTTTAGCAAAGCTTTTGACATGGTCTCCCACAGTATCCTTGCCAGCAAGTTAAAAAGTATGGGCTGGATGAATGGACTATAAGATGGATAGAAAGCTGGCGAGAGCATCGGGCTCAACGGGTAGTGATCAATGGCTCCATGTCTAGTTCTCAGCCGGTATCCAGTGGAGTGCCCCAAGAGTCGGTCCTGGGGCTGGTTTTGTTCAATATCTTCATTACCGATCTGGAGGATGGCGTGGACTATACCCTTGCAAGTTTGCAGATGACACTAAACTGGAAGGAGTGGTAAATACGCTGGAGGGTAGGGATAGGATACAGAGGGACCTAGACAAATTAGAGGATTGGACCAAAAGAAATCTGATGAGGTTCAACAAGGACAAGTGCAGAGTCCTGCACTTAGGACAGAAGAATCCCATGCACTGCTACAGACTAGGGACCGAATGGCTAGGCAGCAGTTCTGCAGACAAGGACTTAGGGGTTACAGTGGACGAGAAGCTGGATATGAGTCAACAGTGTGCCCTTGTTGCCATGAAGGCTAACAGCATTTTGGCCTGTATAAGTAGGGGCATTGCCAGCAGATAGAGGGACGTGATCATTCTCCTCTATTTGACATTGGTGAGGCCTCATCTGAAGTACTGTGTCCAGTTTTGGGCCTCACACTACAAGAAGGATGTGGAAAAATTGGAAAGAATCCAGCAGAGGGCAACAAAAATAATTAGAGGGCTGGAGAACATTACTTATGAGGAGAGGCTGAGGGAACTGCAGAAGAGAAGAATGAGGGGGGATTTGATAGCTGCTTTCAACTACCTGAAGGGGGGTTCCAAAGAGGATGGATCTAGACTGTTCTCAGAGGTAGCAGATGACAGAACAAGGAGTAATGGTCTCAAGTTGCAGTGGGGGAGGTTTAGGTTGGATGTTAGGAAAAACTTTTTCACCAAGAGGGTGGTGAAGCACTGGAATGCGTTACCTAGGGAGGTGGTGGAATCTCCTTCCTTAGAGGTTTTCAAGGTCAGGCTTGACAAAGCCCTGGCTGGGATGATTTAGTTGGGTATTGGTCCTGCTTTGAGCAGGGGGTTGGACTATATGATCTCCTGAGGTCCCTTCCGACCCTGATATTCTATGATTCTATCTGACATCTAGTGCTCAATATCAGGTTCTTCACATATACAACACGCTATAAAAATCTCTGGGGCACCTGGGCTTTGATCATTTGACACACAGTATATTTAATTCTACTTTAAAAAAAACCCCGCAAGGATTAAATGACAGATTCAGAATCTGAAAAAAACTCAGTGCATCACCTCCTCCTTCAGACTTCTCTATTTTCTGTTTTACTAAGTATCACAAGCACCTCTGCAGCAACAATATTGTATGTATTCTATTGTATGTATTTGTACTGTAACGTATTAATTAACAGCCTTGGGACAAAACCCACTGACTGAACCAACTATATAATAATCCCCCTTAGTTCAATTTTACATATTACGAGAGCAGTATAAAATTAGAGAAATTCCACAAAAAGGCAAACAAGGTATCACCATTTACAAAGTGTTTGTGGATACCTTTAAATAACTTGTCTTTTACAGCTCTCCTATTTCATTTAAATCTTTTTATTAAAGTCATGATTTCTACTTCCTTTTAAAAGTTTTTAAAAGGACTTTTAAGGATGTATCTTAGATAATCACCTTTCTAACAGACAGACATCAAAACCCTAAAAATTCCTTCTGATTTTTAGAGACTGTGAGTCAAATCCTGTTTTCTGCTGAATTACATAGAAAGAGTCCAGATTTACACCAGCATAACTGGGGAATGCATCTGTGCAATGCACGTTGTGGATCCAAAGGAAAAAGAATGAGATCTGAATTATATAACCTTTTGACAAGGCAGAGTAAAATCATCAATCTAAATTGTTTACAAGTCTGGGAGGAAAGAATGGACAGCTAAACACTCTCTCCTTACTTTTGACATTTTGCTTTTCTTTATTTCTGCATGAACGAAACGTAACACATATTGTTATTTAGCATGTATCTTTTTCTATATTTAGAATAGAGTATGAATGGTGTTTTATAAGAATTAGATGCACCAACAGACGAACAGAAGAAGAATTTTTCATGTTATTTTTTTAGGTGGTCTGAAACAAATACTACACAAGTAAATAACAAAGGTACAAACAGATTTCTGAAAATGTTTACATTTAAAGACCAAGGGACAGAACCCCGGTGTAAACTATAATAGCTCCACTGAAGTTAATGGGGCAATGACAGTTTACACCAGTTTAGGATCTGCCCCCTTGAAAAGCTGCAACTTACATTTTGCTGATAGATTATATCCTCCAAGAGGTGTAGGATGGCCTTCCACTGCATCAAAACCAGATGACACCAGCACAACATCTGGGGCAAATTCATTGGCAATTGGCATTACTACCGTTCTGCAACAAAAATGTAACAATGGCAGACTGATTACTTTGTCTGGCTCTTCAATGAACTGAGGAACATTGAGATCACCTTGAGCAAACGATTATAAATTGCACTATTTTTGAAGTTGGCTAAGGTCACATCCCCTTTTCTCTTCTCACACGATGAGAACACTAGGAACTGGTTAACAGAGCACACTGGTATGTTATATCATGCAGTTCTATTTTAAAGTCAAAGCTTGTTTGTAATGTTGCTTATTCAGTGGGGTTGATTATTTCAACCACTAATAGTATAACAATCCAAATACGGAAATAGCCCACCATGCAATAAAGTTTAGATTTCCAGGCGTGTCTGACTCTTTGTTTGGTCATCTCAAATCTTTTGTTCTTTGTGTACTGGAGGTGAAGTTAGAAACGTGGAGAGGGACAGAAGGGGAAAGGATAGGGTAAGCTGGCAGAAACTAACTGAAAAAGCCATAATTTAATAACCTCACTACGTGGCATTTGTCTCCCTAGATACAGCAATGATGCTTCTCCAGTATTTGCAAAGGCACTTATTTTTTCCATCCTACAGCTTCATTAACCATAATTAAAGGCTGGCATGCAACAAGGACTATCGAGTGCAGAGCTGTGTGTGGCTGGGATGGAGGAAAACCACAATGTCAATTTTTCCCTTTATGGAACTCGCCACTCAACTAGTAATAGAGTAAAGTGGCTAATACATGGATAGACCAAAAGGAAGCTTTAATATTGCTGAAATTAAAAAAAAATATGTCTTTTACCTACTTTTATATACAGACACAAAGCAACTCAATCCATTTTAAGGTGGTACAATGTCAGAGAGGAACAAGAAATAAAACTAAAATGGAATATGGAAAATATTTTATGTGCAAGTAGGTGTCGACACACACTAATCTCAGTGTTGTATTCCGTAGAAAGGTATCATCATATTGGTTTATCTTTTTTCCTGCCCCCTAAAAAACTACCCAACCTTAGTTCCTACTCAAAATATACTCTAGATTGAAAAAAAAATTCAGATGTCATGATGCAAACTAGGCAAAATGAGCTGCTGAATAGGGAATAAAAAATTGCAATTTATGCCAAGCTCACTATTAAAGGCATTGCAGAACTGAAAATATCCCATTTAAAGTTTTAAAACAGAGAACCAAAGCTGCCTCAATAAAAATGTTACAGACCCACAAAATCCTGTGACTAGGAAAGCTTCCAGAAAGTATTCTTGGATGAATGCCTTCGTAAATGGTACAGTTCGATAGTACACTCACTTTGTATTCGGTGTACAGTAAATGAGCAGACAAACAGACACACACACTCACAAAACTGTCTCGAGTGATTGCACTCATCCACAGCGTCACTGGTAAGTGACATGAATGGTAGGAAGGATACATAAAAGGATGGATAGGATACATAAAACCTACATTCCCTATAAAATAGGATTTTCCAGTGCCTGCTCCTGGTTTTCTGACGAGATGTAACGATTACTATGATTATTAAAGAATCCAGGACACTCCTGGAATGACTAGGGGAAACTGGGTAATGAAATTCCACCTTTCTGAAGTCTTATGTCAATTAAACTGGAGATGGCAGTACTCTATTTCCAGTTTCTAACTCTCTCTTCTAATTAGGAAAACCCTTAATAGCCAAGCATGTGATTTTACATTTTGTGTAAAATAAATGTTAACCCTCTCTTCAAAATATGCACACAAAGGGACCGGTGATCATATATATGCACTTATATTGGTTTCCTTAAAGCTTTTTAAGATATTACTGTATTAGCAGTATATACTGCAAGCTAGCACAATGAACTGATGTCTAATGCCAATTTTCATAGGTCTTTAAATAATATCTGCCATGTCAAAGGGAATCCCAATGTATACCAGCTAAAACTGGGGATGGTCCTACTGGGATCCAGGAAGTGGGCGGGCAGAAGGGTCCCGTCCGCCCCAGCCTGATGGGGGGATCCACAGGACCTGGAAGCCAAGTGATTTCGGGGGACACCTAATAGAATAACAGGAACAGGAGTGCGGTCAAAGGGTCAAACAAAGGGAGCCTGACGGGGACACCGAGCAGAGAACCCTGGACAGTGCCCACTGCTCCTCGAAGGCGAGGAGTCAGTGGACACCGCCCAGAGGAACTCTGCCCAGATGCGTGAACGGACGGAGGATCGGAAATAGGCCCCACAGTCACAGGAGTCTCCATCGGCCAACCTCCTCTCCCTGGTTTGGTCACTAAAGGTGAACAACATGTGACATTCTTGCACAGGGAAAGATAAAAAGTTTCAGAATGGTGAAAGAAAAAAACTGAGTAGTGTGTGGTCTGACAAAAGTCTTTTGGTTTCATTTCCTCACATAAGACTGCCACGGTAATCTAAGGAGCTCCTACATTTATTACTGGTGGTCCATCAGCACTGTTATAAAGACATATAGAAGAAACTACTTCACCCTCCTTACTCTGTCAGAAAAAACAATTTTTTTTGCAGTGGTTGTGGGTCAAAGTTCTAATTTAAGCGATTGCAGTTTGCTGTACTGCAGAGGGCTTTTAACGGTGGTCATAACTCCAGAAAGACCAGATTTTATTTTTTTCCCCAATGTATTTATTGCCGTGTAAACTTTTCCTCCACACACATTATTATTTAATAAAGCCTTAGTAGGACTTTTTGCTTATGACTTTAAAGCCAAGAAAATCTTTTTACTGAAACCCACAGACATTCTAAGTAAAAACCACCTCATTCACAAAGAACTTAAGCAGCAGTTTCGAAGCAAGTGCATGTGGCTAAGTTTTTTTTCTATGCTTTGAAGTACTGCTGAGCTATTTAGTTTCTAGCCAAAGGAAAACTGCTAAACTCATCAGATTTTTTCAGAACTAGGTTATTATATTTTGAGAGTTGCTAGTATCTGTTCCTGCTGTGTGGTATCACCCCAACTCCAATTAAAGTGAAAACCAAAATCAACTTTGAATTGTGTAATATTATAGTTTTGAACAAGCCAATATAAACAGTTGATATGACCAATGATTGACAATTATTTTCTTTTTTATGCATCACTGAATACTCCATCCTGTTGATTTCCAAATATTAGCATACTGGAGTAATATGAAATAGCAGCTAATATCAGGTGAGCAATACACACAACTTACTCACATCAACAGTGGCATTCAGCAATCACATGCAGACCGGACAGAAGTTAAAAGATACCCTCTAGTGGCAAGAAAAATACATACACCCATATGAACTGCTAAGAGTTTGTTGAAAATTAAGAACGTGAAACTTATTCGAACACATCGAAAAGAGGACGCACTGTGGTTACCCTTAAAAAGTCAGTATTTGCCAATCACGCACAGGTATCTGAGATCCCCAGTTTCTCCCTTTATTTAAAAAAGGAGATTTCTTGTAACAGTATTGTAATGGTTGGCAAATGTAAGATTTTTAATGCTACTACTGCATATATGTAAGTGTTTTAAAATGTAATTAGCGTTGCTCAATATTTGAAATAACATTTCAGATGATGATTAAGCCCTCAAAAGCCTGAGAAATTTGAGCTGCAGATGACCTGGCCAGGGCAATCAGTGTAATTAGAATTGGGCCAGAAACACAACTATGAGTTTGAACTACCTGTCAAATCTGAAGGCAGGGTTCGGATGCAAATCCTAGGATCTAAGCCTCCCTCCCACTCCAATTTTGGTTCTAGGCTGATGCAAAATTTAGAGTGGGTAGATTTCCCACTCAGATGCAGCTGAAATCTCATGCAAAAAGCCCAAGATGATTTAAATAGGATGATCCAAGGAATGGAAAACTTGTCTTAGGAAAGGAGACTCAAGGAGCTTGGTTTGTTTAGCCTAACCAAAAGAAGGTTGAGGGGAGATATGATTGCTCTCTATAAATATGTCAGAGGGATAAATACTGGAGAGGGAGAGGAATTATTTAAACTCAGTACTAATGTGGACACAAGAACAAATGGATATAAACTGGCCACCAGGAAGTTTAGACTTGAAATTAGACGAAGGTTTCTCACCATCAAAGGAGTGAAGTTTTGGAACAGCCTTCCAAGGGAAGCAGTGGGGGCAAAAGATCTATCTGGCTTTAAGATTAAACTCGATAAGTTTATGGAGGAGATGGTATGATGGGATAACATGGTTTTGGTAATTAAATATTCATGGTAAATAGGCCAAATGGCCTGTGATGGGATGTTAGATGGGGTGGGATCTGAGTTACCCAGGAAAGCATTTTCTGTAGTATCTGGCTGGTGAATCTTGCCCATATGCTCAGGGTTTAGCTGATCGCCATATTTGCGGTCGGGAAGGAATTTTCCTACAGGGCAGATTGGAAGAGGCCCTGGAGGTTTTTCACCTTCCTCTGTAGCATGGGGCACGGGTCACTTGCTGGAGGATTCTCTGCTCCTTGAAGGACTTCAATAGCTCAGACATAGGTGAGAGGTTTTTCGCTGGAGTGGGTGGGTGAAATTCTGTGGCCTGCGTTGTGCAGGAGGTCAGACTAGATGATCATAATGGTCCCTTCTGACCTTAGTATCTATGAATCTATGAAATAATCAGAGAACCCTAAGCTAACAATGCCTGCTCAAACCTGTGCAAAATTCTATGAATCCAGCGCATGAGATTTTAGTGCACTGGAATCCAGACTTGAATCCTTTCCTTGCTTCATGTCTCAGGTCCAAAACTCTAGCCCAAGCCTTAGGTCAGCTGTTTTTAAATGCATTACTCCCTTCATTACAGTAGTGCCCCAAGACTCCAACAGGATTGAGCCCCATTGCACTACCTGCTGGATAAACACATTCGGAAGACAGAATCTCTGCTCCAAAAGTTCACAAACCAGACGTGACTGGCGTGACAAACAAGAGGTCTAAAATATTGCTCTGGTGCTACAACTGGATCTAAGCAAGCATATGCCAGCATGTCCCAGCAAGGGCACAGGTCTCCATCCACATTGATCTGACTGCAGGATTGGGGCCTATGGCACCATCCACATGATTTTGGACTGTACT